TAAATTTTAGATTTTATATTAATAGTTAAGATATTTGTGTAACTAATGTCACTCAAACCTGCTTTTGGAATCCTTTTACAGAATAGTCAATTTTCAAATTAGTCACCAAAAATTTGTTGGATTATAGCTCAAGAAATAATTGACAATCCTAAACCCACTAGTCTAGTAAAATTTTGGGTGTTTTTATCACATTTTAAAGTTTTTGGACCTGAGTTTTCCACAAACCTTTCGGATGAGAAAACTAATACTCTGTATAGGTAATATAATAATTGAAGTCACTCTCTGGACGCCATCCTGGAAACGCAATCTCGGACCCCAGAAGACCAAACACCATATTTATTAATCAAATTATAAAACCTCAGTATACACACTCAGGAATTGGTCTTTGCATTGAAAATTCCAAGCAATTTCTCCAATCTTTTAAAAACTATTTATTATAAAATTCCATAACAAACATCCCATTAGTCTTCAGTTTCCATCTTCGTACACCCATAAAAAATCCCCCAAAAAAACAAATATGGGCAGTCAAATTTGAACTAAATTTCGGCTTCTAGGTTCGAAAAATTTCATCCTTATGTTACCCTGAGTAAAATCCTGATAAAAATATATCACTGAAGTAATGTGCAACGTCATATTAGTAATATTCAATTAAAAAAAAAATTGAGCAGTCTAGAACATGAACACAGTCAAAATTGAACCGAATTCCGGCTTCCGGGTTCAAAATTTTCATGTTTATGTTATTCAGGGTAAAATCCTGTAAAAACTGTAATGATAAAGAAGTATCGTGCAACGTCATATTAGTAATATTTAATAAAAAAAAAAAATTGTTTTGGAGGAACAGGAGACACGTTTAGTTAAGGAAGCAAAAGGGACTTTTTTGTTAAGTGTGAAAATGTCAGGATCAGGCCCAGTAAACACGACGGAAGTGAAGACTTTGAAGAAGGAAGGAGATTGACTAATGCACACAGCACAACCGACCAATAAAGAAACTCAACTCAAACCTCTGTATTTCCTTTTGAGTTTTCTTTTATTTTTCAAACTACAAATGAAATCTTTCCAGATTCTTTCAATCTTTTTACACACAGAATTTTCCTTCAAAAAGTGCTCAAACCTTTCCAGGCTGCACAGACTCATCCTGGAGTTTTCCTGATTCAGAATTTTTACCTGGCTACATCTTCAGGTAAGCAACTTTTGAGATTTTTCTCTTTTTGTTTTGATACCATGTTTTAAAGTTTACATTGCATCATCCTGGAATTTTCCTGATACAGAAATTGTTGAAATTGGGACAGAAATACTTGTGTTTTATGAAGCACCAGGGTGGCTTGATTTTGAGTCCTGGAAAATGCCCCTGAGGGCCTAAAAGTTACAGTGTTAAAAGGGGTGTCCTTGATTTTGATAGAACTTGGAGATTTTCGATTGTTTCGTGATTTTCGAGCTGATGGACTCGATGGATTTCAATTTTGGAATTGAGGATGTTGGGATAGCAGTTTTACAGGAATCGTGGAACAGGGTGGCAATTCAAGCAGTGGACCTTGCTAGTGAAACAAGAGATGTGGTACTTGGAAAGAGTAGTTTTCAGGAATTTTCCAGTAGTGTTAATGAGTTGAATACCCTCTTTCATGCCTTAGATCCCAGGAAAATTGAAGCTGCAATGGGTTTAAAATCTACTAAAGCTGTACTGGAGACCTTGAATGGTCAGCTGAGGAAAGCCTGTAAGATTATTAAAGATTACAAATCTGGAAGCCGGTTGCGTCTCTTGCTTCACTCAAACTCTGTGCTGTCAGAAATGCAGGATTTGTCCAGGGAGATTGCCACGACCATGGAGTCGTTTCAGCTTGTCAATCTTAATATGACGCTGAACTTAAAGGCGATGATGAATCAGATTGTTGACAGTCTAAGGTCATTGGAGTTCCATTCAGCGGCTGCAACAGAAAGAATTGCTATGGAGATAGAGAATTCGATATCACAGAGCAACAGAAATAGAGAGAATGCTGTGAATCTCCTGGAGAAGATTGCAGAAGCTGTTGGTGCTAGCGCAAATACATTGCTAGTACAAAATGAGTTGGCGATTTTGAAGCAGGAAAAAGAAGAGATGGAAGCTCAAAAGAAGCAAGCAGAAGCACTTCAGTTGAATCAATTGATACAGTTATTGTATAATACAGAACTTGTTACAAGGCCAGAAAATGAGGAAGTTCCTATATATCACCAGCAATTCCCAATTGAATCGATAATATGCCCTTTGTGCAATGAGGTGATGAAAGACGCCGTTGCAATTGTCTGCGGTCACAGCTTTGAGAGGCAGGCAATTCAGGAACACTTCAAGAGAGGCGAAAAGAAGTGCCCCACTTGCAGAGAGGAGCTTCCATCTCTTGATCTTACGCCAAATTTTAATCTTCGAAGCTCTATCGAAGAATGGAAGCAAAGGGAGATGGACTTGAAATTCCAAGCTGCAGTTGTTGAAATCAATTCCAATGATCATTCCCGGCAAAACAAGGCCTTGGAGGATATGCAAAGTCTTATGGAAATGCCTCGGTATGCAGCAAAAACTGATGGAGAATTCATTCCAAAGCTGGTGGAATTCTTAAAGGATAACAGGCTTAACGCCAAGGCCACGCTGAAATGCCTCTACTACCTAGCTAGATTCAGTGATGATCATAAGGTAAACAAAGTTGAGATGGATAAATCCCATTTCCTTTTTAATCTTTCGCCTATTCTGACATTACAGTTGTTGCTCGAGAGTTGCAGGAAGCCATTGTTCAAGCAGGGGCGATTCGCCACACTGTGAAGCAGATCTATAAAGGCGAAACAGAAGCTGAAGCTCTTGCAGTCTTGCTGGAGCTATCCAAGAGAGAATCCCTTGGAGAGAAAATAGGGAAAACAAAAGACTGCATTCCTATTTTGGTTTCTTTGCTCCATAATGACGATCCAAATGTCTCAGAGAATGCTCACAGTGTATTGCAGAATCTTTCCTCGAACACGCACTTCGCTGTCAAGATGGCTGAAGCTGGATACTATCAACCATTTGTTGCTTGCTTCAACCAAGGTAGAATAGTTCACCTGATAGGAATACTTTTCATCCAATTCACTGTGTATTCATTTGAACAGTCTTTCTGACAGGATCCCCAGAGACCAGATCATTGATGGCGGCAGCCTTGATGAATATGCAACTCAAGGAAAATAGCATTTCAGTCTTGAAAGAGAGGCCATTTATACACAACATAATCCAGCTGCTCTCTTCAAACTCGCCTGCTAGCAAATCGGCTTGCCTCAAATGCATCAACAAGTTCATAGCCTATCCGAGAATGTTAAAGAGGCTTCTATCAGATCCTGTGACCATTCCACTTCTGCTTGGCCTCATCTCATTTGTCAGGTCTGATCCGCAATTGAAGCAGCAAGCTGCTGAGATTCTTGCTTTGATGGTTGAAGCCTGTCAGCATCCTCAATTCCAGTTGTTTCAAGGCTTGCAGGAACTCCAATCCGAGCATAACATCAGTCTCTTTCTGCAGCTCGTAGCTAGTTCCGAACCTCAAGTGAAGATTCAGTTTCTGCACTTACTGGTGGAGCTCAGTTATAAATCAGAGAAAGTTCGGGACCTAATCCAATCAAATGACGACACAATCACTAACCTGTTCTCTTCCCTAGATGGTGACCAACCAATAGTTAGAAGATGGGCATTGAAACTCTTATATCGCATTTCTGAAGGCCATCCTAATGGGGTTCAACTCCCACCTTCCCCCGGCAAAGAAACTGCCATCAATAGTCTAGCAACTATTCTCACAAGCTCTCTAGACATCGAAGAAAGGTCCACTGCTTCTGGAATCATCAGCAGGCTTCCGAAAGACGATGATGTTGTTGATGAAGTACTTCGTAAATCAGAAGTATTGAAAGCCATTCATGAGGTGATTTGCAGCATGGATGGGGAACATTTCGGGATCAGGATACCTGCAAGCCAAGATGAATGTCTACTTGAGAATGCGCTCGCGGCTCTTTTACACTTCACAGAACCCTCCAAGCCTGAACTTCAGAGGCAAGTGGGAAAGCTTCAATTGTATCCATCACTAATTAGAGTCCTCTCCTCAGGAAGCTCGATGGCCAAGCAGCGAGCAGCGACTGCACTTGCACAATTATCCCAATCCACCAGCCTGTCAGTCTCCAATGCAACCAGAATTGCAACTGAAACTAATACCTCAACGCCAATGCTTTTTCTGATGAAACTCTTGCCGGATATGTCTTTGTGCTGCTCTGACTCATCAGAACACCCGAGTTTATGTTCTGTTCATGGTGCTGCTTGTTCACCAAGAGAAACATTCTGCCTTGTCAAGGCGGATGCAGTGAAGCCATTGTTGAAAAGCTTGAGCGATATAGAGTCTGGTGTCGCGGAGGCTGCTCTTATGGCACTGGAAACATTGCTAATAGACCACAGCACCTTGTCTCCTGCCACGGCTGTTATTGTCGACAGCCAAGGTGTGACAGCCATTCTACAAGTCCTGGAAAAAGGATCCTTATCTGCAAAAACGAAAGCCCTTGATCTCTTCCAGAAGATCCTGAAGCATACAAAGCTTACTGATCCCTTGTTTAAGAAATCCGAAAGGATCCTCATCCAGCTTCTCGACGATGATTCACTCAAAAAGAAAGTTGGTCTAGTTCTTAGGCAAATGAACATCATCCCAGATCAATCTTCCTATTTCTGAATTGGCCAGTAGAAACACATACTTCACTCATTATTAGACAATCACTTGGCCACAATATTCATGTAGGACTAATCGTTTTCATCTGACAATGATACGTTCTTCCCGCTTACAATTCAGAAGCTGCAAATCAAGGGAAGCAGATATCAAAGTTCGGTAACCTAGTGGTATGTGTAAATATTTCCGGGTTGGGGGGGTTTTGAAAATGTAAAATAGTGTTAATTTACAAATTTGGGAAGTTCAGCCTTGTTCTGAAGCTGCCGCTGCTAATGGAATCAGAAGGGCAGATGAAGAAATCATCAAATTCTTTAAATCCATGGCCGACTTCAAACCTATTTAACAGAAGTAGTGGCTGGTGAGTTAAGATAGAAATAACATTAGCTGTGATTTTTTATTCTTTTGGGTTGTAGGTATCATCATTTTGTACAAAATTAAAAGTTCTTGCATCATGGAAGGCAATCAATTTTTCATTCAAAATCTGAATCTGTCTTAGCTAGTCTTGTTTCCTGTGGATGTTTGTTTCTCTTATTAAAACCTTTCTTAAAGATGTTTTATAATATGTCCCTGGCGCAAACATCTTAAAATTTCCAAATTACGACATGTCTAATATTTACAACGCTCTCGTAATTTAAGGGTAAGAATAGTGTCGGTCAACCAATGAATGTGACTTGTAAGGTACAACAATTATTAGAAAATAATCGAGTTTGAGCAGTAACCATGAATGCTACAGATGGTCTAACCAGAGGAATTGAGATGATAGATATGGGAGCTCCTCTTTAAGTGTTCTGGTCGATGGAACAACACTAGGACAAATTTTCAGAATGCTTGGAGAGCCTGTGGATAAAAAATGTCAAGACGTCCTAAATGAATCTTCAGTTAGTTATTCGTCCGTCTCCAATGATTTAGAACTTTTTACCTTAATTGGACATGTGAGACCAGCCAACTTTGCTTGAAATTTGAGGCCTCTGCCTAACTGAAGAATTCAAAGATTTCAGTTTAATCCTATCCACATCTAAACCAACCGCCAATATGTTCTCCTGGAAAAGCTGCATTAATTCCAACTGTTCTTGAGATTGCAATGCTTCTATAATTAGGCTGCAAACTCTTTCTCCCCTGCCCTTTATAAATGAATAACCCAATTACACATTCAAAATATAACAAAGATTTTATCAGTTTTTCTGGAAAAAAAAATGGCATTAAGGGCAACTGTAAGTACCCTAAAACATGTTACGTCTTTTCTATTTGTATATTGTGTTGTCAAGTGATCATTGATAGTGATCTTGACAAACATTGCAGGGATATTGGAGATCAATGCTGAATCGTTTGGGCGGAAACCACCCATTCGCAACATCGACTACTCCCAAAATGAAACAGTTTGCACAAAGTGCGGGCTCTGCTCAGGCAAATCAGTCTTACAACAAGTGAGTGATACAGTGTATGTCAAACATTTTCTTATCAAGCATTTAGAACTTTTGTGGTATGATATCCTTTCGATTGTCTCAGGTTTGCGATGACAGGAGAATTTGCACCAGTTTATATGGTTCTGGGAATGTTGGTGGTGGCACTGACAATAGGGACACACACAGCAAAACAGCAATTGGCACATTGCCCTAACGTTAGCGTAAGCAAGAAGAAAAGGAGATCCATATCAGAGGTTGAGGAGCCAGATCATGCTGTCAGTTCGGCTGATAGGTTTGTGAATAAATCCTTCCTAAGGAAGGTAGCTCACATCCAGGACAACAAACAGAATCTCCCCAGTCCTACTCGCCCCAACCCTTTTACCAGGTAACTTTCATCTGCTCTATAAATCTTTCATTACAAGATTCGCCCACTGCAAAAACTCTGATGGAGGTTAATGTTGCTGGAAACTGCAGCCCTCGAAATGTAGAGACACTGAAGACTGCTGGAGCGAATCCAAGCCGCTCCTGAAGAAAAATGATCTTAACTTGTGTCAACTCTGAAACTTGTGGTTTCTTGAGTAGTAGTAGCAATCCAGGATGGTGTCAAATTGTACATAGAACAGCATCGATTAGTTCTCTTTCTGCTGTGATTATAGATTTTATTATGGTATTAGTTACTAAATGAGAGCCTTTAGTCATCAGAATTCCGTGCTAGGCTCTCCAAATCCTTGTGTTATTGGATTTATTCTTCTAATAAAACAGGCACCACTGCATTTGTATGATTCTGTAAATTACATATAATTTCTTGTAAGAAAAAGGCAATGCATTGCATAACAAAAGCATGCTCAAAATATATTTTAACCTTTTTTCGACAAAATTGTTGAATCCCCTTCAAACTAATAATCCTACCAAGTATTTATTACTCGTCTTTAGTTTAAGTCAAGCTCAAGCCATGAAGTATAATAAGTTGAAACACTAAAGAGACTTGACACATCGTTTAGGACGCAGATCTTGATATGCAATATTATTGTTTTTAATCAGAATCATTTTGAGTACTTAAGAAACAGTTACAACCTCTCTAAAGGCTTAAACAATCATCCAACAAGTACACATGCAACCCAGCAGGAGAGATCATGAAACTCATGCATGTAAGCACAAATCAAGAGACCATAAATTTCCCAGATCCTAGAGTTTCAGAATATATAATAAAATCATGTATTTAAACACATCTTCTTCCCACATCAGTTTTCTGGAGAAAACAACGAAATATCTATCAAAGATTCAGATTTTCGGCAACTGTTTCCGCATTCTTCTTTGTGTTATCAGCAAGATCAAGCAATCTTGGCAAGCTGTAAAATTTATATATTCACCATCATCATCGTGCATTGTAATATCAAATAAATAGCTTTTCCAGTATTGCAAACTAGATTTCTCTATGTATTTCCTGGCAAGCTGCTCCACAGCAGGAGGCAAAACGGCCCTGAAGAATCCATTTTTGTAAGTACCGGGTATCTATTTGCAGCTATTCAATCCTTACCAATAACTTAAAAACTTGTTTGCATTAGTTAGACGTGAGATAATGAATTACATCCAATAATTTATAACAAGAAGTGAAATCTTAACAAACAAAAATGGAAGGGGAATTTAGAGCTTTCAGTTTCTTCTTACCAACATGTAAACAAGCCTCTTTCTAATTTTGGGTTGCCGCCAGCTTTCCTCTTCTCTAAATAAACTAATCCTCTTAATCATACACTCAATTCAACATTGAGAATTCACTAAAAGAGTTTCATCAGTTTTAAGTAATCTAGGGAGTGGCATTCAGAGCAACTGTAAGTTCTTAGAACAAGTTCATCTCTGCCATTTGCGTTTAGTGTTGTGATCTTGACAATAAACAAAATTGCAGGGTTACTGGAGATCAATTTTCAATCGTTCGAGTGAAAACCGGCCATGTACAATATCAACTACTCCCAAGATGAAACTCTTTGCTCAAACTACTGACTCAGCTGAAGCAAACCGACCTTACAACAAGTATAAAATACAATATATATCACATATTTGCTTCTCAACATTTTGAACTTATGCTACATGATTGAAGATTTTTATATGCAGATTTTCTAATTTTTTTGAACTACAACATTTTGTCTTGCAACAATTTTCTCACATCAAGAAATATAAGAATGTACACAGGAGAGAATGACTAATTATATGATATCTTTCAATCATTTCAGGTTCGCATTGACAGGAGAACTTATACCATTGTATATGGTTCTGGGAATGATGATTGGGGCAGCCGGAATAGGGACACACACAGCTTTTAAGCAATTAGAACACTGTCCAAATGTTAGTGCCAGCAAGAAGAAGAGGACCTCCATACTGGAGGTGGAAGATCCTGACTTTATCATCAGTTCAGCTCACAGATATACAAACAAGTCGGTCCTGAGGAGGGTGTATCGTGTTGGTTATTTGAGCATGTAAGGATGGTTATACGGGAGAGAAAAGGAAAGAAAAACAAGAGAGAGGAAGGACTTGTATTGGTTCATACATGTTACAGAAAATACAACAGAGTTTTTATATACATACAGACATACTGTTGTACCTAATCATAAAATATATTTTAGTCCAAAATAACTTTTTAACCATACATTCTTAGCAACTCTGATTACATCACATTAAGTTGATATAAAGTTGGTAGCCAAATGCAAGCTGAATTCACCAAAAAATATCACTTCAGCATGCCTACAGACTAGCTACGTGAACTGCTCCAGACAGGTTTCACAACTTCAAATTTTGCCCTTTTGCAGCCAGTTTCCAGCTCCAGCATAATCAAAATATTTGTTTCAAGCAAAATATCACTACTTTGAACACTCCTCCTTGATATTTTTGCTTGAGACACCAACTTTAAGTTTCAAGTCTTCAAATTTGGACTTACATAAAGACTTTGTAAAGATGTCAGCCAATTGAACTTCTCCCCTGTAGTGAGTCAATCTGATTTCCTTGCATTGCTCAGCCTCCCTCACAGCATGAAACTTGATTTTTATGTGCTCAGTTCGGCCATGCATGACTGGATTCTTTGCCATAGCAACAGCCGATTGATTATCACAAAAAATTTCAGTAGGCTCACACTGTTTTACCTCCATATCAGCCAGCAAATTCCTCAACCATATGGCTTGATTTACTGCAGCAATAGCTGATATGTATTCAGCCTCTGCAGTGGATTGAGCCACTATTTCTTACTTCTTGGAAGACCAGCAAAAAGCTCCATAATTCAGCAAAAAAACATACCCTGATGTGCTTCGCATGGCATCACAAGAGCCTCCCCAATCACTGTCTGCATAGCCTACCAATCTGAAATTTTCAGATTTCCTGAACCAGATTCCATGATCTGCAGTTCCTCTGATGAACCTTAGCACTCTCTTGGCTACTTTAAGATGCTCCTCACTTGGTTTACTATAAATCTTAATAGGAGACTAGTGGCAAACATTAGATCATGTCTTGTTGCTGTTAAATACAACAAGCTCCCAATCAACCTTCTATAATCTATCTTATCCAGCAGGGCTGCTCCATCCTCTTTGCACAGCCTTTGATTTTGCACCAAAGGTGTGGTAACAGACTTACATTCATCCATCCCAAACTTCTTCAGCATTTCATTAGCATATCTCCTTTGATATGTAAAAATGCCATCTTGAGATTGATAGATTTCCATTTCAAGAAAATAGGTCATCTCTCCCAAGTCAGTCACCTCAAACTCTTTGTGCATTGCCTTCTTAAACTCTTCAACTTGAATAGCATTGTTTCCTGTCACCAGCAAATCATCTACATACAAGGAAACCATGATCACATCTTTATTGGCTTTTTTCACATACAAAGTATGCTCATTTGGTCTCCTTGCATAACCTAGGCTGACCAGGTAGTCATTGATTCTGCTGTACCAAGCTCTTGGAACTTGTTTCAGGCCATATAAGGCCTTTCTCAGCAAATAAACCTTGTCTTCTTTCCCCTTGACTTCGTGTCCCTCAGGTTGTTCAACAAAGATCTCTTCATCCAATCAACCATTCAAGAAGGTTGACTTGACATCCATTTGATAAACTTTTGAATTGAGTTGCCAAAGCAAGGACTAACCTGATTGTATCATGCCTAGCAACAAGAGCAAAAGTGTCTTGAAAGTCTACACCATGTTGTTGTGCAAAGCCTTTCACAACTAACCTAGCTTTGTGCTTCAAAACTGAACCACTAGGGTTAAATTTTTTCTTGAAGATCCACTTTACGTGGATCACCTTTCTCTCGACAGGTCTGTCCACAAGCTTCCATGTTCCATTCTTTTCTATCATGGACAACTCCTCCTGCATAGCAATCCTCCATTCCTCTGACTTGGCTGCTTCATGATAGGATGCTGGTTCAAGCATTGCAACATTGCATCTCCCATAAATCTCAGCAAGAGGTCTGGTTCCTCTTATTGATATTTTTTCTTCTGTATCAGAATGTGCCCCATCAACTTGGTCAGCAACTTGCTTTCTTTACTGTGGCTGTGTATCCTCCTGAATTTTTTTCTCTTCCCAGTTCTACACTGACCTCTCATCAACCTTTACATCCCTTGAAACCACAACCTTCTTAGACTCCGGAATATAGACCCTGTATGCCTTGGATTGGAGGCTGTAACCAACCAGAATTCTAGCCTTTCCTTTGTCATCAAGCTTTGATCTTTTGATGGTTGGTATGAGGACATAGCATGTACTCCCGAAGATTCTAAGATGGTCTACTTGAGGTTTGACTCCATACCATGCTTCAAATGGAGTTTGATCTTTTAAAGCCTTGGTTGGAAGCCTATTCAGCAGGTAAACACTGGTATTCACAGATTCTGCCCACAACTCCTTCGGTAGCCCTTTTTCAGTCAGCAAGCATTTTGACATCTCTATCAAGGTCCTATTTTTCCTCTCACTCATTCCATTTTGTTGAGGAGTGTAGGGACAGCTAAAATGATGCCATATTCCAGCCTCCCTACATATTGATTCAAACTCACTTGAGGTGTATTCACCCCCATTATCACTTCTCATAGCCTTGATCTTTACACCAGCTTGGTTTTCAACTTGAGCTTTAAACCTCCTAAACACAGCAGCAACTTCTTCTTTTTTGCTTTAGGAATTACACCCAAGTCATTCTTGAATTATCATTAATAAACAAAGTGAAATATCTGGATCCACTTAAGGATAGAGTCTGCATTGATCCACACACATCAGTGAAATATCTGGTTTGTTGGAAAGGCAGGTCTGCTAAGCTTCCCTATTTGGCATACTCTACACAAGCTCTCTTTCTCTTCCATTTCAAGTAAGGTATGCACCATATTTTTAAGCTTCATTTGCCTAAGGCCAACATAATGATAATGACCATATCTTTTATGCCATAGGTCTGTGTCATCTAAATTTACTGTCATAACTTGAAATTCTGATTTTTTGAGTTCAACTGGGAAGCTCTTCCCCACCATTTTAACATGCATCATCACATTTCCTTCATTATCTAATATTGTGCAGGATTTGTTTTCAAAGTGTAGGATGTAATTTCTTTCAAGCATTTGTCCTACACTAAGCAAATTTTGGTTGATTTTAGGAACAAACAACACATTAGAAATGATTTTTGTACATGTCAAGGTCTGCACAGCCATATCTCCCCTGCCTTTAACCTTCATAAATTCACTATT